CTGGGTGTCCAAAATATCCGGAAATATCTTAACACGGCCGTGACGATCCAAAGAGAAAGTCGATAAAGAGAATCGATCAATGCAGAAAGGGCCTGTTGAAAAGAGACGCGAGAATTTTATTTTGTTTACAAACAAGACTGACGCCTGATATATGAAGGCGGTAAACGGAGTAACCAGACAGTAAATCTATGAACCTCGATTTAATTTTGAGGTACATTGAGTTACTTGCAGCAAAAATGGAACTCAGAGTAAAGCTGTCTCACCCCTTGGTCCAAATGTTTGAATTTTTCTGCACCAAAAACTGCAAAACTATATGAAAACAATTAAGTTAATAAATACCGATTTCTTTAAACCGTTGATACCAGGCCTGTGACAAGGCCTTTACCAACAGCAGCGCTTTACAGTAGACAGCATGTCCCGGGCTCAATCATTTATTTTGCTGTGCTGGTCCCGCTGTCACGGTATAACTTGTTGCCTACGCGCCTGCCACTGGGCTGGTTGATACCGATAAGTTGGAAAAAAAATCTGGCAACGCTGCTTCCACCCTTTGAACTGTTGACAATGTGGAAATACACCATCGGATAAAGTTAAATTTTCAAGTGTAAATTGCTGATCATTGGCAGTTGCTCCAAATTCTTGAACTCACTAAGGTTGTGTTCCATTTGGTGAATTTTCACTTAAATTTGACAGATGGAAAATTTTCAAATAAATCTGCTATAAGGTGATCCAAGAGACGTTTCTCAGTGGAACTGACAGCTAGAAATCAAGAGTGTGTGAGTGATCTGGTGTTAATGGTGCTGAATGTAAACATAAACAAAGCAGAAATTCATATGAGAATAAACTACCAGTTCTACCACCGGTTGGAAACTAACGATTTTAAATTGACTCACTACTTGACTAGTCTATTGGTCCCAAGCAAATCGATTAACATACCCCATTCTAGTCGAAATTCTAGTACTACACTATGTTTGTTTTGATTCGATATGAAGGTTTGACAGATAAAATGAGGGGCTCGTGGATTTTCCTATGTTTCGAGGAGTGCATCGATTAGCTTGGGACCGAAGAGAGTACCAGAGTTGAGCCAAAAAGTTGAACACGTTTCTTCGGGACCTCCTGGTCTTAGAGTTACCTCTATGGTTCTACCGTCCTACTGTGATCTGTCAAAAGTTCTTGGTAAGCAAAAAAATCAGCTGATCACAACAGCCCTATTGTACCAAACTTATTTCCGACCGACCAGGAATCAAATTTGACAAACACCTTTTCAAAAATCGGAAGATCAACAACAAAGGGGGATTTTCGAACATTATAATACATTTTCGAAGTTCTTCTCCACTAAAGTTGTTTTTACTAAGTCAACAGCCAATTATCGAGAGAAGAAATACAGCGGAAAAAACGAACGTGACATTTGTTCACGGGCTAAGCCTACTTCGATCTCTATCACAAAACTCAATTATCATTTATTATGACGATTTTAAACTTTTCTGAAGGTAATGAATTTTTCTAAAATTCATGCTCCTTTCTAAAGATGATGAACTGTTTGTACTTCACTGAACTTCTCTGAAGTTCGTTAAACGTTCCCTTAAGTTCCCAGATAATTTTTAGAAATTCAATTTACTACTGAGAGGTTCAAACAACTTCTGAGAGGATCTCAAAGTTAGAAACTGTGGAAGTTCGGAAATCTTCTGAGAGATTCAGATTCAGAGTTTTCAGACAGGCTTTACAAACTTCAGATTGGCTCAGTGGACTGTGGACATGTTATGCGAGTGTCAGAAAGATTTAGTGAGCTTCGAAGAGTTTCAGCAAGTTTAAGAGAGACTCTGTCAACGTCAAACCTGTTCAGAAGACCTCAGAATGGTTTGGAAGTGATCATCAGGGAACTTCAGGCAATTCCGGGAACCGATCATATTTGCACGAAATCAGCTGTCAAAAATCGCCGTTTAATTATTTTATTTTAACAGTGTTACAGTACGTCTACGTCTAGAAAAAAAATATGAAAAGGGATTTTTATGAATGCAGGACCTGCCAAACCTCATGGAATTAAAGACTTGCATAAATTCAAAGAGTTTGCTTCAAATGAAGAGCCTTAATGTTGTACTCTTTATGTTCCAATGAGCATATATCAATGCAAAAGATCTGAGCTGGGGAAACGTGGTGTTAAGAGTTCTCCAAACCATCCTGCAGTTTACATCTCGAAGTTCTACAGGCTCAGTGATGTATTGCACGATGTACCAAATTAATCCTAATTGCTCCATGGTACCCCACAACATCATTTGAGTCATATAATGTTATTTCAGAAATATCTATGATTATCTAAATTGTCCTGGAGTTCAGATCTTGCTAATCTACAGGCGCAATGAAGTCTTGTTCAATATTCTAGACTGAATTTTTGAATAATTGGTACTTCGTGAAGCCTCATAAGATCATGTGAGAATAAAGATGTGCTAACAAAAAATCTATGACATTCCACTTCGTCCTGGAGTTCTGATCATAAAGTTCTACAGACTCAACTGGGTTATTCAACGACGATTCATTTAAATTTTAGAAACCGGAAAGCTTCTGGGAGCCTCATATTATGTGAAAAATATGGTTGAAATGTCAAAGTATTTCGGGTTCTGAAAATGAACCTAAATTTTTAATCTAGAGCTTCGCTAAACCTCATCACATTGGGTGGGACATAAGTTGTACTAGCAAAAAGTCTAAAGTTCTCCAAAGCGATACGAGCTCACGGAAGTTGTAGTGAATATTTTGAAAACAAACTACTTCTCAGATGCCCTACAAGCCATGGATCGTGAAACACTATGCTGCTCCGCGAAAGGAAACTGCCTAGAGCTGAAACTACCCCTAAGCCATTAGCGAGCGAAGGACCGTAACCCCATTGAACCGTCTCATGGACCTCGTTGCCGTGCATGTATCTGGAATTCCTGTTTCTACCATTTGCTTCAGATCGAGCAAAACAAGAACGAGAGTCCCACGACGACGACGACGACGACGATGGCTTAGATTGGCGGAATTATGTAACTGCCATAAACATTAAACCACCGTAGCCAACCGAAGGCAAGCTACCGAGTGTAGGCAAATATGTTGTACCTATGCCCCTCCTGCCCTCATTGCTGCTGGCGTTGAGACAAAAGAAGTCGATTATATTCTGAACGAGCCCGGTTGAAAATTGCTTTATTATTGGAAGATCACGAGAATCGTTGCACCGCCGTGGTTGCTCGCTGGTAAGAAGCGGTACGTGACCATAAATCTACATAACACGTTCACCGCCCCTCCCGGCAGGCCCCCGGTTGCCCGGGCTCCATGAATCCGCTCTAAATTGCAAACTTAGTTTTGATATATTTAAATTAATTTACTTTTCCACAGTCCATAAAACGGTCCGAGTGCCTGCTAGATCAATCATGGAAACCGGACCATTTAGTTCTTCATACACTATACAATGAATGGTGCTTTTCTTGTTTGAACAATGAGATTGGAATTCTACGCGCGCGGTTTATCACGCCAATTGTTTCTCGGTGTAATTAGATTAACAAGGCACCCGATCAAGTTGCGGCGGAGATCCTGTTCGCACGGTAATCAGATCACAGCAGCCGTGATTCGATTCCAAGCGGAGGTCCTTGGGAAAACAGTGCTCCCGTTGCCCCGTCGATCGCAGTAGGTTGGACTAGATTGTAAGTGGCTCTGGCAATCATCCAAGCAGCTCGTGATCTATTACTGTGATAGTTTCCATGGCTTCATTTGTTATGACGTGAAGTCCGAGGTTAACGTTGTTATAAAATGATCTTGATACGGTTGGAATGTAATATTCAAATCAGGCTGTCAAGTAATTGAACCAATATGGACTGACAGATATCGCAGGCTTATGCTTTATGTCAACAAATAATACGTCAAAAATGTTACCCGACAGTTCAAGGACGACGAGAACTGAATCACCTTTCAAGGCTTTTTCAAAACAAACAGCCCATTTGTAATGGTGATAAGCTCACGTGAAATAATGAAAAGCCACCGACATCAAATCTTATCCAATATTCCAAAACGAGATCATAATTCAATTAGTTAAGTCCACAAATCCAAACAAAAAGCCCCTTTGAATAATTGAATAAGCATGACCAACCACATTAGACACACTATTGCGACCCACCTCAAAGGCGATCGCGTGTGTTTTTCTCCTTCTTTCCGTTGTTTCATAGAATGAATTATGAATCAAAACAAACCCCACGGCTGGTGCCACCGAGCGAGTGCCAAAGGTGCATAAATCGAGCCGCCAACGTGTGACTGCTCTTGCGCTGACAGACGGCAGTCGCGGCCTTTGCCCCTCCGGCTCCCGTTCCCAACCACCTTCCACCGTTGACTCTGCATTAATTCAATGTTCTACAATTTACATTAGATTACCGCTGCAGCTACCTTATAGGCACATGGAAGCAGCGTCGAAAGAAGAGAATTATCCGCGGCTGACTCCACCACCACTGCCAGGTTCGGTGGAGGTACGACAGCATGCGAAATTATCTACACTGAGGTAGCGATGGAATGCAACAACGAATGCATTGTATTTACTCAACCGCGTGGCGATCTTGGCAAAGGCGGCGGCAGCGCGGTGCCAAGTTCACCTGTGCGGGTGAAATTTCTTCGATCAATCTACGACTGGCAACACTGCCCCACTGTCAGTGGCGCCAAATCATCAAATGGATTCTGTGTCTCTGGTACTGTACAATTCAAAACAATGCCTTCCATTGGCGCTATCTTCAGGTGGGGGGGGGGGGCTTCTCAACTTGATTGACAGCGACGCCAATGTGCAAGAAAGTAAAATCCACAAATTAAAGCTCGCAACGAATTCGATCGCAATGCAAAACTCTTCATCGACTATGCGCGCACAATTTGCCGCTACCTATACGAACGATGTGAATAATGCGCATAATGAATCAGAAATGCAACGCATTTCGATGCACCCCTTTCCTCACTTCAAGACTAGCCAATTACAGTTGTTTTCTCGGTTTTCTTTGCAGATGATGCTGTTCGTCGTAGCATCGACGCTGCTAGTGCTAGCTCAAACTGACGCCGGCGGTGTGGCCACATCGTACAGCGTGATCCACCACGGTGAACCTCAGGCCCGCGTCCTTCACAAATCTTCTCAAGTGTTTGCCCCGTCCTCGCACGTCGTCCACAATGCTCCGCACTTTGCGTAAGTCTTCACCTCCCTTGCCATAGCCTCCAAACTGATCTTGATTTAATCGTTGTCCCACGCTCTTCAACAGCCCTCTGGTCTCCGCCAAGTATACCGTCCCATTCCTGAGTGCCTACAACAAGGCCACCCAGTGCCCGGCTGCACCACTGTGCACCAAGACCCGCTACCGCAACCTGGATGGATCGTGTAACAATCTGCAGAACCCAACCTGGGGTACCCCGAACAACCCGTACGGTCGTCTGCTAACTCCCAAGTACGGTGATGGCATCTCCACTCCAACCACCTCGGTCACCGGACAGGAACTGCCCAACTCCCGTCTCATCTCGCTGGTCGTCTTCGGCGAAGAGGATGTCCCAGATCCACAGTTCACCCTGGGCAACATGCAATGGGGACAGATCATGACGCACGACATGAGTCTTCAGGCTGGAGGAACCCAGTCCAGTATGTATCCAGGGCACATTTGACTTCCCCTTCCTAATTCCTAACGCCATCTTTCATTGTATATTGCAGAGAAACACTCAACGAGATGTTGTACTGACGATGGTAAGCTGATCGGCAAGTCTTCCGCCCCATCCACCTGTTATCCAATCATCGTACCGGAAAACGATCCAGCCCACTCCCAAACCGGAACCGAATGTATCAACTTTGTCCGTACGCTGACCACCCGCGATGACCCTTGCACCCAAAATCACCCAACTGCACCGGCAGAACAGCTCACCACCGTCACCTCGTGGCTGGATCTGTCCATGGTATACGGTAACTCCGATCAGCAAAACGCCGGGATTCGTGCCTTCACCGGAGGTCGCATGGCTACCGTCGAGCGTGACGGCTATGAATGGCCACCAAATAACCCGAACGCCACCACCGACTGCGACGTGGCTTCCCGCGACGAAATCTGCTATCTGGCCGGAGATGCCCGTGTCAACCAGAACCCTGGACTGACCATCATGCAAATCATGCTGCTCCGTGAGCACAACCGCATTGCCGATCAGCTCCAGAAGCACAACCCACACTGGGACGATGAACTGCTCTTCCAGGAAGCCCGTCGCGTCAACATTGCCCAGTACAACTACATCAACTACTACGAATGGCTCCCGATCTTCCTCGGCAAGGAGAACATGCTCAAGAACCGTCTGATCTACAACGTCAAGGGAGGAGACTACATCAACGACTACGACCCAACTCAGGATCCTTCCGTGTTGAACTCGCACTCTACCGCTGCCTTCCGTTACTTCCACTCGCAGATCGAAGGACGTCTAGAGTAAGTACCCCGTATACCCTCAAATAACATCAATCTTACTAACGGTTCAACTCTTCGCACAGTCTTGTTTCCGAAGTTCGCAAGCCAACCGGTTCCCTCCGTCTGAGCGATTGGTTCAACCGTCCATCAATCCTCGAAGCCGGCAATAACTACGATTTCCTTGTCCGAGGTCTTGCCACTCAGCCCGAGGAACTGACCGACATCAACTTCGACGCCGAAATTAAGCACTTCCTGTTCCGTCGTGGACGTCCCTTCGGATCCGATCTGCGTGCCTTCGACATCCAGCGTAACCGTGACCACGGTTTGGCCGGCTACAACGATTACCGTGAGTTCTGCGGCTTCAAGCGTGCTCACTCCTGGGAAGACTTCATGGACCTGATCTCGCCACAGGTAATATTCACCATATCCTATAGCGTACCAGTCTTCAATATCTAACCTTAATCTCCCCCACGCGCAGGACGTTGCCAAACTGCAGTCCCTGTACGCTAACATCGACGACGTTGATCTAACCGTCGGAGGTTCCCTGGAGTCCCATGTCAACGGTGCCCTGGCCGGTCCAACGTTGCTGTGCATCCTGACCGAGCAGTTCTACCGTACCCGTGTGGCTGACCGTCACTTCTTCGAACGCGGAGACAAGGAAACCGCCTTCACCCGGGAACAGCTGGCCGAAATCCGCAAGGCTAGCATGGCTCGTATCTTCTGCGACAACGGCAACCACGTCACCTCTATGCAACCGAAGGCCTTCTGGCGACCATCGGCCAACAATCAGATCGTGCCGTGCTCGCAGATCCCCGAGGTCGATATGGCCATGTGGAAGGACCTGTCCTACGACAACAGCCTGCACTCGTTCCACTACTTCCACAACTTCAAGAAATAAGCTAAACAGAACTGAAGAGATATTATTACATGCTTTACTACCTAGCGAACCATGCTCAAAGCTGCGTAGATTATTCCTATGATGCCAGATTGTTTGCAGTTTTCCACCGCTATTTCCTATTCCCCTATACATACTCCCAGTAGAAATCGCCTGATTTTGTTTTCTGATTGTTTATAACCGTGTGTGATACAGAATTTGAACTGTTTATTTCTTACCTAGCGGATGTGACAACACACAACTTCCACTTCATTTGCACGCGACTGTTTTGCAAATTGTCTAAAGAAAAAAAAAAGAAATCGAAATCCGCATATATTGGAACCTATTGTTTGCCATAATGATATTGTGAGTGCAATTGTAAGCGCGCAAAAGAAACTAAACAAAACGAAACTAAACAAAAACACAGAACAGCGGCTACACGAACGGACGGACGCACACATGGAACAACATTGGAAAGAAGTAGCCCCCCGAAGTAGACGCCAATGCTAATAGAAAAAAATATATATATTACAGTAGGCGATCATTATAAATGAAAAAACAAAAACCATAGAGAAATTAGCAACAAACAAAACAAACGATACAAACCCAGCCCCGCGTTGATGTAGAAAGAGATACAACCTATACAAGCTAGTTAATAGTAGTGCTATGTTTTGTTTAGACTTATTTAATGTATAGATGAAAAAAGTGTACATGTTAAAATGTAACGCATGTTTTGTTGTGAATAAATAAATAATTTAAGAAAAATGCTGGCAATGTTTTTATTCTACCTGAAAATCTTTTCCGGTGTTCTTGGAACTGCCTTTTTTATTTTCTTCCAATTTTACGGTGCATCGCAACGGTATCAGTTTTATCAACTCCATTTACAAGCTGTTCAAATTAAAGAGGAGGAAGTATCCCTTAAGCTCTTTAAATTATCATGAATTTCTCGAAATTTCTTTTCAGTTATCAGAATTTTTCTGAAGATAATGGTGACTCCTCTGTGGACTATCTTTACATTTTTTTAGGACTTCCTCTAAAAATACTGTAGTCTTCCCCTAGAAGGCCTATGAATTTTACCTAGAAGTGCTCAGGGTGACCCCCAGAAGTCTTATGAACTCTCTCTTAAAAGTCTTGCGAGGTTCTCCTATCGGTCCTACGAACTTGACTTTTCCTGCTGTGTTACTCCTTTGACAGACATGATTGTAGTACCATTGTACTCCTTTATACAGTTAACTACCCAACTAACAATTTTAGCTGCAGATTAGCTTATACAGCCAAAAATTGGCTTATACAGCTAATTTTTGCCTGTTCAAGCTAGTCTGCAGCTACAATTGTTTGTTGGGTATGCCTAGGTTCTAAGTTCAATTCGACCTTTTGTTCATTCTACTTTTTGTTCCTTTGACCTTTTGTTCATTCCAAGGTTCATTCAACCTTTTGTCCTTTGACCTTTTGTCTTTCGACCATTTGTCATATTATTTTTCTCTGGAAAGGACTGTTCAGTTGAAGTTCACGGGTACACGACGTTAGGCATACGGCTCGGCATACGGTCGTTAGGCATAATGGACGTTAGGCATAATCTACCCATTGAATTTCAGAAGGATGATAATGGGGACCGTCTATTGATTGCTAACTTCGGTGACAATAATGAAAGAGCCTTAATTTTTGGAACTCATGAAAACTTGCGACGTCTTGGACAGGCAAAGTATTGGGTTACAGATGGTACGTTTGCCACAGTTCCTTGTTTGTTTCGGCAACTCGTCACTGTTCATGGAAGTATCGCTCCCTCACATCAGCAGACGGTTCCGCTAGTTTTCATTCTGATGACAACAAAAACAGAATAATGGAATAGTATGGCAGGAAATCCTGGAGGCAGCAGGCATGTTTTTTTGTTATTGCTGTTCTTTGAGGAAAACCTTTTTTTCTTTGACAATTGCAATATGTGTGTAAGAATATATTACAACAAATGTGTGCTTTTTTATTTCTAGATGCTGAGTTTTCATTGCCAGATTACTTAACCGCTACTAATCTTGGAACTAAGTAAATATGTAGCTACGTCACTTATGGTATGATAAATAATGGATTCAAAACTGTGCTTATTAAATAAACTATGTTTGTTTAACTTATTTCATTTTTTATTCAACGCTTAGCCTAATTTAAGCATTGTTTACCGTGCTCGAAACAGGTTGCTAGAGTTGCACAGCAGCAAGGTATTTTATGCCTAACGTCCATTATGCCTAACGTCCGTATGCCTAACGTATTTATGCCTAATTGGGTACTCTCGAAATTCACTGGTTGGGCTTTTAATACTTGGTGTTGCAACCGTACATACAAACATACGGCTTACCAACAAATTAAAACTTTACTGGCTATTTTTAACCTCGCTTTTAATATGATTTAAATGTATGCAAAACAATCACGACGAGAAATGATGAACTATAGAAGTAGCCATCTTGCGTACACTGCTCGGTGATTGTTGATGATGTGTGTACACTGAGATTATTAATCAAACGAATTTCATAGAAATATCGTATGATTTTTTGCGACAAGATTTTATGTTGAATTCCATACGACCGAACTATGAAGAACTGTCAGTTTTTTGTCAATCAGCCATCGTATGATTTTTCATCCATATAAATATGAATCTCAATATAAACGAACAATAGCTATCATTGGATATTACGAACAATTTCATTTGTCATTTCGTATGAAACTCATAAAGGATATGAATGAAAAATATAGTTTGAGTTGATTAATGACTATATTAGTGATGGTGACGACTAGTACCACAAACGAAGTGACAGACGACTAACTGGCGAAGAAATCAATTAAAATAATGTGGTTCGCTGTTATAGAATTTTCATAGAAGCTTGTGCCATCAGCCACCTGATGGGCTAGTTTTTTTGTTTTGATTTGAACATAGTGTGCAAAGAATGTATCATTTTGTAATTTTTTTTATGCATTTCAGTTTAGAGTAGAGTGAAAGAGATAGAACCAAAACATTCTAGTTCAATTGGTGAAAATGCTAGTTCAATCCAGTAGTAGTGTTGCCATGTGGTACAGTCCAGTAGTAGTGGTGTTGCCATGTGGTACACTGAAAAATTGCAATAGCAGGTTAGTCACCAAAGTTTTCGAGCCGCTCCGTCTGTCACTTCGTTTGTGCTAGTACTTGAGTGATTTTCTTAGTTTAATGGCTTTCTAAGTCTTAATCTCACTCTAACGACAACGATTTAATCTGCCCGACGTTTCGGCGATGGACCATGAACTAAAACCTATGACCGAAGCGTCGGCCAGATTAAATCGTAGTCTTTAGAGTGAGATTAAGACTGAGAAAGCCGTTAAACCAAGCAATTATTTATTATATTTATTATATTGATTCTGATGCAATCAGTGTGGGTTCTAGATTGGAAGGTACAACTGCGGAAACTGGGGGAAGTTCATCGGAACCCTCCAAATTTGTCGTTGCATTAATCTTCGTCGCAGTCGGGGATGCTACTCGATCAGCCGCTGCAGCACTCTGTCAGTTGAGGCAGCTGTGTTGACTGGTGAATCTGTTGAACCCCCGGAAACGTTCACTGTGATGGCTCGCAGTACTTGTACTCGTGTCCGATTCCTGTTCAAAAAATTTTACTGTTGTTAAATTATCAAAACAAAAACAAAAAATAAATCTGACACTTACCCGATCCGGATGTCTCTTCCGACCTGCTGTTGAAATCGATAAAGTAGAAGCAGCAGCAGCAGCTTGCTTAACTGTCTACAAATGTAAATAAAGTTGTAAACTACAATGAAACAATACGAATTTACTAACAGGTTTACGACGCCTTGAAGCTGGATCCGCCATCTTGTGCTTTGTTGTTGTTTTGATTTGCACTGTCGAAATAAATTCCATACGATCATCGTATGATTTTTTGCCGTAAGCTGAACCAAATTATGAAATTTTTATGTTTTTCGTATACCTTTTGTTGTATCAAATTATGAATACTATAGATGGAGTATGAAAACATAAGATAATTATGAAATTGATTCAGGCTTGTATTTGCATGCATTCATACGATGTAGTTTATGAAATTTGTAGGGATAATTATCTCAGTGTATCATTTTTGCAGTGACAAGCCGGTTGTCACTGAAAGAGCTCACTGAGGGCTATTGATAAACTGATTCGTTCACACTTCCACTTCTGTTCTGTGGTTATAGGTCAGGTCATGGTGGGTATATAAATGGTGATACAGCTTTGTCACTATATAGGCGAGGAGGTCGCGGGGGGGGGGGGGAGTGTGGTTTTAGAACAAATTGTAAACAAACTCGGTCGCTGTCCCATACAAAAATCCAACATGGCTGAATCATGAATTCGACACATTAGAACACCTATATCAAAGATGAATACTAAGATGAAACTGTCGGAAGAAAAACTTTCTATTTTAGTGTCTTCTTTCACGGTCCCTTTCATCCAATGAGAACCCCCCGTATTCAAGGTAATTTTGTGGTTTTGCTGCCCCCTCGGAAGAGATGAAATTTTGCACTCATTTTTATCAAAACAATCACACCAAAATCAGAGATGTCCCATTTTTTAATTACTCGATTAACAACTAATCGATTATTTTTTGTTCGCCGCTGTGCTGCCATTTTTCCATCAATGAGAGTGCAGCATATGTTTGAAACGATCGGTGATGATCCTGTGGAGATGTTAATGCTTATATCGGCATGATCTAACCGATTATAAATAGTTTACTTTTCGGTTCCTTAATCGATTAAACGATTATTCGAATGAAAATCGGACATCACTAGATGAATGTGAAACGTCATTTCAAAAATAAGGCCGTTCATAAATAATGATACAATTTGAAAGGGACCGGGGCTAATCACAAATAACGTCTCCATGGTAACTGAAATAAACACGAGTGTTCACCGGTTGCCTATATGCTAGGGGCAAGCCAGCTGTACTCAAAGTTAATATTTTCGCTCCGAGTAAATTTGAGTAACTCATAATTACTCAAGAATGATCAAAGTAGTCTGGCTTTATGTATACCCGAAAAAAAAATAACAACAAAAATACAATAAAAAACAATGTAACAATAAGACGAAAATTATTGTCTTAACAATGATTTATATTGTTACGTCTACAATAAATTTACCTTGATTTATGTTGTACAAAACAGTAAATTTCATGGTAAATGGAAAATTTACAATAAAAAAGGGGGGTTGTTAAGTATCTTAACAATGAAATTTTCGTGATTTCCCCATATAATTTTTTTTCAATAACATTATATATTATTGTTATTTTACTGTTGGTTGGCGAATTTATTGATTAAAAAAAATAACAGTGTACTTTAGAGTGTATGTGTTGTCTTGACAGATCTACTTTATCGACTTTAAAAATAAATCGAAAAAATAAAACGTCGCCCCGGGAAGGGAAGGGGGTGGTATGTCTGATACGGGTGAGTCCTTTTTTACTGGTTATGGAACTTGTCAGAAATGGAGACCAACTCCCCTGCACTCGATCTCTCTAGGTCACGTCTCCTTGGTGGTTGAGCGTCGTTGATAAGTTAATGCATTCAACTGGAGAGAATCGCCCATGAAATATGCTTCCACCTGAGAGTTATTTCCTGACATCTTCAAGTGGTGGACTTTTTTTTTATTATTATTGTATGATTATTGACTGCACGGAAAAGGTCTGCATTAAGCGGGATTTAGATGAGGCAGGAGAGTTGAGCTCAACTCAAACCGATCTGGTCGTAGGCGTTCAATTGACTTGGCAACTAATAGAGCCA